AATAAGCAAGTGATTTCAGAAATTTTAAACATCTAAAGTTACATAATTTCTACCTCCAGAGACTAGCAACATAAAATGCTACCTTTGCTAAATACCTCACATGTTGTAGTCAGAGAGCATGCATGTCACATGAGGTATGTGGCAGGTGTGGGTTTTTAAGTTATCTTCACTGGCACCAAGACTGGTCAGGGTGCATTCCCTAGTGCCGAGCTCCCAGAGGGTAGGTGTACCAAGATTTGAGCCAAGGCAGTCCTGATTGTAGTCTATCTGCTTAACTACTCCAGGGATGAACTCAGGCTGTATATAATACTTCTCTTAAAAATGACCAAAATATGTACAGGTGCAGTGGCTTAAGCCTGTAATCCTAGGTACCCAGGAGGAAGATAGTAGTTCACTGTCAGCCTGGGCATAAAAATTTGTGGGACCCCCCCCCCATCTCACCCCATAGCTGCTGCAGTGCACCTGCCCACTGTCCTCACTGACACAGGAAAGAGTGAGTAGGAGGGTCAGAAGCCAGGCACAAATCAAGATCCTACTTCAAAAAGAATCAATGCAAGAACAGGGTGGGAGTATGGCTCAGGTGGTCAAGCACCTGCCCAGCAAGTGCGAGGCCCTGAGTCGAAACACTGCTAAAATTTGTGAAGATAGTTAAATATTTAGAAATGATTCTCAGCTCCGATGTTTGAAGGAAATGTCCTTTGCACACAAAGAAAGAAGAGAATGGCTTGGAGCAACTTAGTAGATGAGGTGGGTGGGGTCAAGTGCTTGAGTTAACACTGAACAACACAATATACGAATGTTTCAAAACCATTCACCAAAGCCAGCGCCAGTGGCTTAAACCTGTAATCCTAACTACTCAGGAGGCTGGGATCTGAGGATCTCGGTTCAAAGCCAGGTCGGGAGGGAAATTATCTCCAATAAACCACTCAGAAAACTGGAAGTGGTACATTGGCTCATGTGGCAGAGTGCTAGCCTTGAGCTAAAGAGCTGAGGGACAGGCACAAGCCCAGAGTTCAAGCCCCATGACCGAAAAACCCCAAAACATTCACCAATATCTATAAGATTATTTTTTGTTAAGAAAATTTGTATTTTCCAATCTTTATACTTTACACTTATAAAAAATAACAGTCAAACACCAAGAAAATCAAATAGAGTTGATAGCTTTCTGCACATGTAAGTGCCAATTCTGGATTCTTGACACAAGAAAATTAACATTAATAAAATCCTTACTACTATATATCCAACATAAGTTAAAACCATAGGCACTAGTTTACCAAATCCACATTTCTTCTTGAGTCTAACCACAGTAAGTCTATTTAGATTTTCCCAGACATACCTTTTTAATGTAGTAGTTTTATTCAATTGTGGAGAAAACCCTTCAGGATTCATGAAGAACTTGGTTTGTGCTCTGGCTTTTTGCTAGTTAACTGAAGAGAAGAGTCTGGTGGACGTTCTACCCTGACTGGCTCCAAGTTTTGATTCTCAGATCTCAGCCTCCTGAGTTGCTAAGATTAGAAGTGCGAGCCACAGGCTCTGTGTCAAAAATAGTTTTAGAGTTTGACACATGAAGAAATGCTCAACCTCTCTAGCAATAAAAGAAATGCAAATCAAAACAACCTTGAGATTCCCTCACCCCAGTTAGAATGGCTATAATCAAGAACTCTAATAACAACAGATGCTGGAGGGGATGTGGCCAAAAGGGAACCCTACTGCATTGTTGGTGGGAGTGTAAACTTGTTCAACCACTCTGGAAAGCAGTATGGAGGTTCCTCAAAAGATTCCACATAGAGCTCCCCAATGACCCAGCAATCCCACTTCTGGGCATTTTATCCAAACGATCACAAACAAGGCCATACTAAAGCTAATAGCACAACTATGTCTATCGCAGCATTATTTACCATAACTAAGTTATGGAAACAACCTAGATGCCCCTCAGTAGATGAATGGATCAAGAAAATGTGATATATATATATATATATATGTGTGTGTGTGTGTGTGTATGTGTGTGAATTGTATGCCTCTATCAGGAAGAATGACACCGCCCCATTTGTTAGGAAATGGAAAGACTTGGAAAATATTATATTAAGTGAAATAAGCCAGACCCAAAGAAACATAGGCCCCATGGTTTTCCTTATCTGCAATAACTAGTTTATGTCTAGGACAAGCAGCAAATGTCAAAAGCTATGTACGTATGAACATATAAGATGATGCTAAGCAAAATGAAGCCCAAGATAGGAACACAAGGGATTTTATTTTTGTTGCTGTTGTTTTTGATGTACTTATAATGTACTATGTGTTTTTTTTTTGTTTCTTTTGTATGTTTTTCCCCCATGGTATAACCCGTTTTCACTGTATTTGATTCTGGTGCCCTGCATCTTGTATATGCATATTTTCTAATTTGGGGAGGGGAAGGGAAATAACAAAATGCTGAAATAAGGATACAGGTTGACCCATTGTAACAATGAGATGTACAAGACACTATGTTGGAAACAAACTTTACAACTTTGGGGCTGCGGGGAATAGAAGGGAGGGGGGAGAGAGGAGTTGGGGAGTTGGGGAGGGAAGGGATAGTAGGGGAAAACAAACGATGAGGTAACAATGCTCCATAGGAACTGTACTTATAACCTTACTCATGTAACTGTAACCCCTCTGAACATTATCTTTACAATAAAAATATATATTTAATAATAAAAATAGTTTTATAGTTTATAGGTTTCCATTTGACGTGACAAGCCTCAATGATGATTCTGACCACATTTCAACCCTCTCTGACCACTTTTTTCTACAAAGGCCAATTTCTAAGTTTCTGTATAACTCATGTTTGATGTGAAAGGGGACAGAGAAATGCTCACAGTGCTGAGGGGCATCAATGAACGGATAATAATATATGCAGCTTCTTGTCAGAAAGCCAAGCATTTTTGAACTCTGTCAGCAGGTAATAGCAAGTCATTCACTTAATGATGGTATTCCACTATTAACACCTACCCTGTGTTTCAAGGGAAAGCACAGATAATGCCTGTATGGAAAAATAAAGATACAATTTTGGTTCTAGAATATGTGTACTTCAGGGTTAGAAGTGTGGAGTACCTGACTAGAATATGTATACTTCTTTTTTTTTTTTTTTTTTTTGCCAGTCCTGGGCACTGTCTCTGAGCTTTATTTGCTCAAGGCTAACACTCTACCACTTGAGCCACAGTGCCACTTCTGTGTATGTGGTACTGAGGAATTGAACACAAGGCTTCATGCATGCTAGGCAAGCATTCTACCACTAGGCCACATTCTCAGCCCCTTAGAATATGTACACTTCTTAGGTGTTTGTATTTTTAAGATAGAGATCTTATATTTACACAAATAATAAAAAGCAATGTATGAGGGAGGAAAAGAGGAAGGAGGGAGGGAAAGAAATAGGGAGGAAGGGGGAAAAAGTCAGGTAATTGAGAGCAAGACTGGCCTAGGAGGAGACTGACTTTGGGGGCCTACGGCTGAACAAGTATCTTTGACGCTGATGAGGTTCTAAAAGTGCTGTTGAGTATTCTCTCTGTGTGGGAAGCTGAGGAGTTAGGAAATGAAACATTTAGGGTAAGAATGTCTCGCTTGATGGGTCAGCAGATCACTGTCGGGGCCTGTGGAGCATGAGACGGAGATTTCCAGTTTCTGGAGGCTCACTGGATGGACAGCAGGTGCTCACGCAGAGCTAAGAGCTCGCAGAGAAAATGAGGTTGTCTGCTGTGAGGCCCATGTAAAAGGCATCCCATCCTCCTCCTTGTGTGGAATGTGGGGACATGGCCTCCTCCTTCTTCACTTCCTGGCCACCATGAAATGGCTCCCATCATGACATGATTTGACCCATGCCACAGGCAATTGTCTGTATCAGTTGTGACTGAAACTTGGAGCCAAAGTAAACCTTTCTTCTTTTCCTGTGGATTATCTCAGGGATTCCGCACAGTAACTACAGGCTGCCTACACCCAGGCTCAAGCGCTCAGTCCCTGACTGGACTGAAATGCCTGTCCTCTGGCACGGTTGAGGAACTGCAGACAGGGCCACTGTCTGCTGAATGACAGTGCAGTCCCAAGGTCTGCATCTGCCTTAGTGTGACACACCACTAAAGACCGTCAAGTGTGCAAGGCCTGAAGACATGTCTGACCATGAGAAGGAACGTAAGAGACAAAGGCTCGGAAGAGAAACACTGGGAGAAAATGAGGAAAGTTATTACCTGACTCATATACCTATAATCCATCTGTTCCTCACTTTACAGTAAAAACACATACAAGCTCACCTGCCAATTAGACACTGTCCTGCCCACTCTGGTGCTCCCTGTGGCTCTGGGCTGGCCTGTGCTGCCCAGTGATTCGGCGCTCCAGGGTGTGAAGCTTCCCTGGTGGCCCCGGGGGATGACAGCGGTCTCTGATAGTGACATGACTCACACTTGGAAACTTCCAAACAAAATGTAACCCTGCTCCACACACCCAGACATCAGACTCGGAAAGGCTCAGTGCTGAGAGGGAAAGAGCAGCTGTTTTTGCAAGCTTAAGCCTGGTCATCTTTTGGGGTAATTAAGTTTCTTGGGGTCAGTGAGCCAAACTTGACACCTGCATGACAGCTTCATCATCTCTCGCCCACTGAAAAGCTCCAAGTTTTCATTTAAAAATGCATTCTTCGGGGAAACAAGGCATGCAGTATTTAACACAGAGTAGATTTGATCATAATACAGAGTTCTACCCTTACTGATAAAATTGAACACCAGGTTTTGCTTAGCCCTTCCCTAGATTAGAAAGGGAATTTATTTGTTCATTTAAATAGGACTCATAAACCCGACACCAGACCTGGCCTTCTTAACCTGGCTCTTTCTGTTCTCTTGCTTTCTGACCACTGGGCTTTTTTTTTTTTTTTCCCTCAGAGATCTCACTAATTTCATTGTCCACCAGAAGGTTAAAATTTCACGCAGCAAACTTGGCAAAAAAAAATGTGCAGAGTGAATAAGGCCGAGGGCGGTACCTACCGAATGCTGCAGGAGCCGGTAGTCGTTGGAGATACAGCGTGCGAAGCTCGGCTGCTCCCAGAAGGCCACTCCCTGGAGACTGAGGGAGCAGCGGCGGCTGGTGGTGCCTGCGGGTCGGAGAGGACAGAGAGGGTCAGAGAGGATTCTGGTGGTGAGAGGACAGAGGGGGTGGGAGAGGACGGAGGGGGTCAGAGAGAACACAGAGCAGCTCCAGGCCACTGAAAGGCAGGTGGAAAGGGACTTACACAGCTTTCCCTTTAAGAAAAGCACTGGAAAGTGCTGTTTCAACTATTTTTATAAGGTGCATGAATCACATTGAGAAATCATGGCATCGGTGATCTTTTCCGATTCTCTTCCTAGGCTCGACTTGCGAGGCTGTTTATGACATGCTTCATCCGCTGCTTATAGGACAGATGTGTGCATGGCTATGGTCAGAGGGAGCATGGGGAAGCCAGGCTCTCCGTGGGCTCGGTTCCACTGTACCTGTTGCGTTCAGCGGACACTGATTGAATGCCAGGTCTCCTGCTGGGGTCCGCCTCCACACCATGGAGATCAGATAGTCCTCTGGGCAGATTTCGTAAGGTGCTGCAATTTAAAACACACACCGAATGTCAGCAGGATTTATTTTCCTAAATCAACACTCCACAAATACACCTCAAACTGCAGAGCTCTTGTGCGTGTGCATATGTGCCTGTGTGTGTGCACATGGTATATGTGTGTGTCCTTGCATTGGGGCTTCAGCTCAGGGCTTCCTGCTTTCACATGGCTTTTTCACTCAAGGCTGGAGTTCTACTACTTGAGCCATAGCTCCATGTTCATGATGGTTAGTTGAAAATGAGTCTCAGAGACTTTTCAGCCCAGGCTGGCTTTAAGCTGTCATCCTGAGATCTGCCTGGCTCTTCTATCTTTTTTGAAGTATATTATTTACTGAAATGTTAGTGACATTCTCAGAAGCAAGAGTCCACAGGTTGCACATTGCTGTCTACAAATGGTCTCAGTGGCTTGTTTTTATTAAGGTAATTTGGGATGGGCTGAAGGGGAGAACGAGGGCAGAGGTGGTGACAATCAAGATATGCCGTCCTAGTGGACTGACGTGCTGAGTCGGCATTTACCCCTTTGTGCAGTTAACAATAATTAAAAAAAAATAAAATACAATAGTCATTTGGAATTGCCTATAAACACAAGGCACACCAAAGAAGTCCTTCCAATATTCTTGATATTTAAGAATTTTAAACAATAAAGGATTTCTAATGAAAACAAAGTCATATCAGATTAATACATGTTAAGAATATGTAAAGTCTATGTACATGTATATTCGTACCTGTATATACTCATATCTGTGCCTCTGTGTACATGCAAACATATGTGCATACATACAAAGTCTTTTTATTATCTGTAACAACCATTCTTGGGTTGTATGTGTGTGCCAGTCCCGGTTCTTGAATTCTGGGCCAGGGCACTGTCCCTGAGCTTTTTTACTTAAGGTTAACACTCTACTACTTGTACAGCTCCTTGAGTGGAGCCATGGCTCCACTTCTAGCTTATTTTTTATTTTTGGTGCTTAATTGGAGATAAGAGTTTCATGGACTTTCCTGCCCAGGCTGGCTTTGATCTCAGCTTCCTGAGCAGCTAGGATTACAGGTGCACGCTAACAATTATTCTTAATAGTGTATCTGAATAAACAAATGAGCAAATGAATATTTGTATGGTTACATAAGTGCCTAGATAGAGGAGGACCTAAAAGGTAATGAGCAATGATGACAGAATTACATCAGAAATGACATGTAGCCCAGCAGGGAAGGCCCTAGCTTGGATGCCTGAACCTCAAATGATGATGATAATGATGATGATGAGGAGGAGGATGATGATGTCTGAATAGATAGATGTGTGAGGCTTTCTCAGAGAAATGCCTTCCTTTTCAAATATTATTCTATTTAAATATGTGATGATCTACTGGCACCAATTCCTCTTCAGATTTTGCCAACTTAGACAACTGAGATACAGTTACCCATATGTGAAGAATGTAACTGGCTACATTCAGTCCTGACACTGCACACTGTTGTAATTGCCTCAACAATGAGTGTTTGAGCCCGGGGCTTTGAGGACGGAGCATTTCAGAGCCATGGGTGTCATCTTGCGGATCCCAGCTCATCTCTCTCTGACAGGATACTGAGACCTGCAGGCAAAGGTTCTTGCTGGTGGTGAGCAGCCAGCTCTGTGCAGGTCTGGGTCATGGAAGTGACTTCCCGCATCTCTCCTGTCATCTTAAGTTGTCCAGGACAATCTCCTCTGTCCGAGTGCACATCTGTACCTATTTCTTCCAGGTTCTCATGAGCACACTCTGGCTCTGTCCCAACTCTTGGAGGCTGGGCTTAGGGATGGTCCCACAGTGGGTTGGGCCATCGCCAGTCTCATTTGCACATGGTGTCCTTTTCTCCCTACTGTGCTCAGCCTCCATCTTCACTCATGGGCTTCTCCTGAGAGCTCTTCACACTGAACTCTTCCCTTCTTGAAAGGTAAGTCTTAGGAAGCCATTCTGTCCTAAGTATCTGCTGGTCCTGAGGGCTTTTACTGTCTAGGGTCCTGTACGACATCACCATACTTTAACTCATCCTTGTGTTAGACACTCTGCCCTCGGACAGCTGAAACATCGGTGGCCACATCGGTGTCATCCTGCTAGTGCTGCCCAGCTGCTGGGCAACTGCAGACCAACTAAGTGCTCCCAGCTAAGACTTAGAGATGGTTCTTTCCCACAACATAGGAAAGCAGGGGCAGGGAGGAGAGTAAACATTTACTGTTTCAGATGACAGAAACCTTTATTATATGTTAAACCCAGAGGAGAACACAGTGCAGATGAGGGACACCTGGCCAGGTCACTGTGTCCACCCCCATTCTGGGGCTATGCCCTGCTCCCCAGCCCCTCAGAGGAGCCTGGTTGGTCACCACACAAGAAAAGACTGCTGTGAGGACAAGAAACCCTCCAGGGGTCAGGACAGGTTTTGTCACTAGACTGGAAATGGCAGATACCTCGTGAGTCAAAGCACAAAGCAACAAAACAGAACTATTGACACAGTATGCACAACGTGGGCAATGTCAGGGAAGTCTCTCTGGATGCCCTAGATCTCAGTAGAGACTGAAGTAAAGTCTATGGTGGCTACCTCAAGCAAAGCATGGGAACCTCATGCTCCCCCTCATGCGAGCCGGGCAGCTGGCACTGGCTACCGCCTGTTCCACCTTGGGGAAGCCACGTGGCCGGCTCTGCAGCCTTCACTGGCTTCTCCCCAGGTGACCACAGAGGCTCAGGGAGTGGTGCTGAAGAGCCCAAGTGACAGGATCAGGAAGAAAGGGCAAGGCCACCAGGCAGGTCAGGGAGGGGGATAGGCCCTGAGGAAGCAGGAGATGCTCACCATGCCAGGAAATACAAGCAGTGGAGACAGGCAAACGTCAGCCCTGCTGGAGGAGCAGGGCTGCGGTGAGCTGAGTCTGGACGCAGGTGTTCACTTGTCATACTGTAGCTGCACCTCCTCCCCTGCCTGTCTCCAGATGCACACTAGAGATACTATAACTGCATCTCCTTCCCTGCCTGTCTCCAGCTACACACTGGAGACACTATGGCTGCATCTCCTTCCCTGCCTGTCTCCAGATGCACACTAGAGACGCTGTAACTGCATCTCCTTCCCTGCCTTTCTCTAGATGTACACTAGAGACACTGTAGCTGCACCTCTTTTCCTGCCTGTCTCCAGATACATATTAGAGAGCTGTAGCTGCACCTCCTCTCCTGCCTGTCTGCAGATATATATTAGAGACACTGTAGCTGCACCTCCTTCCCTGCCTCTGTCTCCAGATGCACACTAGAGTCACTGTAGCTGAACCTCCTCCCTGTCTCTGTCTCCAGGTACACAATAGAGATACTAGCTACACCTCCTCCTCTGTTTGTTTCCAGATATACACTAGGAACACATGTGGGTTTCTTTCAGATGCCTTTCTTGGGTCTTGGAATAGCAAAGCTGAATGCTGGGTGGCATTTGGCATTTACATACACATGGCTGCTCCATGGAAACCTTCATGTGACCCTGCCTGCACTCCGCTCTCATGGACTCGTGCCTCACCCATCCTCTCCTCCTGTCTCAGGTCTGATGGTAACATCAGCCCATCCCTACACCTGAAGCGATCTGCTCCACCTGCCGCTCATCTCCTCTCAATCTTCCAAGAGTTTCTGACCCAGGCTTCACCCTGGCCTCCTTGAAACATGTATGGCTTCCTTCATGCTCCTGCCTAGCCTGTGGTGGAGAGAATCAACTCCAACTCTTTTCTCAGGATCTTTCAGTCAAAGGGAGAAAACAGATGCAAAACAAGAAGTGACCAGGTATAAAAGTGAGGCCCCCTCCCCCTGGACAACACCTTGGCCTACCAAATGACCAGACGCAGAAGAGGTATTGGTTCAGAACTTTCTGTCTGTCCCTCCCCAGCCCAGTACAGGCTCCCAAAACTGTCCATCCATGACCCTGTGGGGAGGATGGGAAGATTGGGAAGGACAGCCAGGTTAGGAATCTCCAGCCAGTCGGAATGCTGTAGGACCCAACCAATAAAGTGTTACCTTCCAAAATACCTCAGTATAACAGGAGCAACCAATCAGATCACCTCATTATAATAGGAGCAACCAATCAAAAAAGCACAGCCTGAGCATAGGAACCCATAGACTCCAAAGCATTTGAGAACACTCACATAGACACATGAACACACAGATACACACATGGACATATATACAGATATACGTGTATACAAATGGACACACAGGCACACACAAACACACATGGATACACATTGACACAGATACACTCAGGGAAACACACACAGACACACAGAGTGGCACTGACTTTCAAGCAAGATCCTTTGCTTCTGAATAAAGAACTTCTCTTCCTTCTTCGGTTCCTGAGACAAAGCGAGGCTCCCAGGCAGCTATAGTGGGCTGCAATGCCATAGTGGTAGAGAAGTCTCCTGTACTCGTCCAGAAAACTCCACGTTTTTAAACTCAAACTGTCTCCTGTCCCCTCAGTGAGGTTTGAAATGCCTGTGCAAAGCCTGGTGCTGTAGGCTCTGCTGTGTCCTGCCTCCGTCTTGCAAGAAACCCGAGAGTATGACTGTCACACAGAGTGTCTGGTTTCCTTGCACGTGCGTTCCAGGCGTACCTGCCCCTGGGGACCCGTGCATAGTCCCAGGCCTGGCCTGGCCATGCCCACCAGCAGGGGGCGCCAGGGGCACCGGGGGAATGACTGGCCGCACATGGGCTGGGCACTCTCACCCCGCCTGCCAGGCAGGTTTAGGGCCTGCTTGCTTCTCAAGGCATATTACTTGGGTGGAAAAAAAAAAGTCTTCCTCTCCTGTAAGCATGATGTTTTCTGCTTAGGATGGGCTGTGCCTTGGGTTTCATCAGCACCACACTCAGCTCGATCCTCCTCACCCCCGCCCCACTGCCCTCCTGCTCTGCCCGGGTGCCTGCTGCCTCATGCTTATCCACTGTTCCATTCTCTAAGACCCCTCCTCCATTCTCTAAAACCCTGCCCATCACCAGCATGATTTTATGT